ATGACAGAATGTCCCTAAAAGTACCCGAACCACGGCCCCATCCCTTGCCCCCACATCACCTCTTCCTCACCAGGGACTGTCCTCCCATTGCTCCTCTCTGCCTTTTTCCCTCCGTTCCCTCCCTCACATAGTTCACCCTTACAGCCAGTAAAAAAGTGATGGGGCCATGTTTTTTTCTCACCCTCCCCAACCCATTCCAGCACCTATGGCTGTATCTCAAGGACTCACATATCAAGTGGTTTGATATTACAATTAGTCACCAGCTAATATGGATCAATTGTCTATTAGGCAACTTTTTCATTTGTCACTCGCTGGGCTTCATTCCTCAGATATCTTGCTAGCATTCACAAAGGTTTGCTTTGGGTTGTTATTGTTTCCCAGCCCCTCTCTCTCTGGCCACTACTCTCCCCATCTCTCCTCCCTCCTCCAGCCATTATGCTCACCAACATCCTCCGCACCGGCCGCTGCGCTCACCAAACCCCGTTTTTCTGGCCGCTACGCATGCCAACCCCCACCCCAGCTGCTATGTGTGCCAGACCACCCTCCCCTCCCCAGCCGTTATGCTCACCAGCACTATGTGCGCCAACCCCCCTCGCCAGCTGCTAAGCTCACCAACCCCCATCTCTCTGGCTGCTACATGCGCCAACCCTCCTCCCTCTGGCTGCTATGTGTGCCAGCCCTCCTCCCCAGCTGCTACGCTAACCAGCCCCAATCTCTCTGGCTGCTGTTCATGCCGGCCCCCGTCCCTCTGGCTGCTATGTGCACCAACCCTCCTCCCCATCTGCTACGCTCACCAATCCTCATCTCTCTGGTTGCTACATACGCCAACCCCTCTCTCTCTAGTCACTATGTGTGCCAACCCCCTCCCTCTGGCTACTAAACATGCCAACCACCCCGTCTGTCCGCTACACTCCCCAATCCTCCCCCCAGCCACTATGCTTGCCAATCCCCCCTTTGGCCGCTATGCTCACCAACCCCCCTCCCTCTTGCCTCTACATGCGCCAACCCCCCTTGCAGCTGCTATGTGCACCAAACCCCCTCTTTCTGGCTGCTACGCCTTCCAACTCCCACTCCAGGCTGTTACCCTCCCCAACCTCCTCCCTCCAGCCACTACGCTCCCCAGCCCTCTCCTCTGGGCACTACACTTGCCAACACCCCCCTCCCCAGCTGCTATGCTCACAGGAAAAACTTTGTGTGCATATAGAGAGAAAGTAAACAAACTATCCAAAATGCAGGATTGGCTGAGGATGATTTGTTAAAACTTACACAAATTCTAGCCAAAGTTTAAGAATAGGAACTCGACGGGGTGCCACGATAGCAAAGTCCATCTTACTGATGCATGATAAATACTAAGTTACATTCTTTCTGAAGAAGAATGAAGAGCTTCCACACACCACAGCAAGTGATTCCTCATAAGAATAGACCCTCCTTGAGGAGAGTGTGAGATTCATACAGGATCAGAGATTCTGTGTAAGGTCCTTTGTGCCAATTTAATCAAGTAATGAGGAGGCTGCATCCAGGAGCAACTGTGCACTTCAGAAAGGATATCCATAGGTTATTGTGGAGGGCAGGTTGAGAGTGGGCTGCAAAAAGTTTTCTGGAACCCCTATAGATCCATTGGCCCAAAGTACTTCAGGAAGAAGTGTGGAGTGATGAGTAGGTGAGAACAGCAGAACCAGAAGGGCTGCACCACAATTGTGGGCTGAATTCCAAACCCTTCATATCTCAGTCAGTTCCCATACTGAGTCTGATTACTCAGGCCTCACGCAAGAAAATGCGGAAGTCACCCTTCATGAATCATGATTCTCATATCTATTGCCTATGGATCTAGCCAGTCTTGATTCTTTCTCTGTTTCAATAACAGAGTGAGGCTATGTCTAGACTGCAGGCTTCTTTCGGAAGAAGCTTTTCTGGAAGAAATGTTCCCAAAAATCTTCTTCCGAAAGAGAGCATCCACCCTGCCAAAGTGCATCAAGAAAGCGATCTGCTTTTTCGAAAGATAGCATCCGCACTGAATGGATGCTATCTCTCATGTAAGCTGTGATTATTATAAATGGCATGGCACCTGTGTTTTTTCCTCTTTCCTCTTCTTTTGCAAGAACTCCCTCTTCCTCATCCACACATGCCTTTTTCCGAAAGAGCTCTTTCGGAAAAAGGCTTCTTCGTCATTGAAAGAGGTTTGCCAATGTCAGAAAAACTCCTCTGTACTTTCAATTTTTTTTTTCAAAAGACTGAGATTGCAGTGTGGACGTAAGTTAAGTTTTTTTTTAAAACAGACGTTTTTCCGAAAAAAAAACCCTCTGTAGTGTAGACAATACCCTGAGGTGACAATTTCAAGACTAGGTCCAGACATTAGGCAGGGTTAAGTGGCCAAAAGGTGGGACAAGTAATCAACCAGGACTATATAGAAAGAGCCTGGGAGGGAGGAGTTCTGGATAAAGAAAGAGTCAAGGAAAGGCTTTATAAGGTATATGGCCTGGCAAGGAAGTAACTGAAGATAAAAGAAAAAATAATCATAGAAATGTAGGCCTGGAAGGGGCCTGAAGAAGTCCTTGTATCCAGTCCCCTCACTAAGGGTGTGTCTACACAGCACCCTAAACTCAAAATAAGATACACAAAATAAGATATCTTATTTTGAAACTATTTCAAAATAACATGCTATTTCAAGCCATCCCTTATCCCTCATGCAACGAGGTTTACCTGGATGGCAAAATAGCGAGCCCGGTATTTAAAAAATTATTTCGAAATACCAAGCAGCTTGTGTAAATGCATGGTAGCTATTTCAGGATACTGTAGTGTAGACTGCAGTGTAGCACATGGACCGTACACACTGCAGTGTGTTCTGCAGTGTAGACATACCCCTAAAACAGGACCATACCCCTAAAACAGGACCAAATAAACCTAGACCATCTTTCATGGGTGTTTGTCCAACCTATTCTTAAAAATCTACAACGATGGGGATTCCACAACCTTAGTTCGAACTAAGGGCATTAAACCTTAGTTCGAACTAAGGGCAGTTAGTTCGAACTACAGGGCATTAAAAAATGGCGGCGCCTGGGAACATGCAAATGAATCCTGGGATATTTAAATCCTGGGCTTCGTTTGCAAGGTCCAATGCTTACATTAGCCACCCTAGTTCGAACTGGGGTGGCAGTGTAGACATACCCTATAGATATAGGTCTGTCCCTATGCCTTTTGGAGCTGTAAAGGAGGTTGGATTAAGGCCTCAAGCAGACAGTAAATACCATCTTCCTCCAAGAGCTGAGGCTGGAACTTGCCAGAGCCAAAAAAATACAGACTAAGCACTTCAGCAGCACTAGTGAGGCCGGATCCCCTGCAGGGAAGCTGCAGGTAGATTCCCATTATCAGTTTCACCTAATATAAAGTGGGGAGTCTTGCCAGGAAGTGTCAGAATTCAAAGATGCTGATAGCAGCAGAGGTCACTGCCTTGATCCTGAAGAGCATCACAGTGAGTCTTCCCAGCCAAACAAAGAGGTGGGAGGAAAGAAACCTCTGTTTGAACCTGTTGATTGGCATAAGACTTCCATGTGACAAAGCCAGATTCTGTTGCTGTAGTTTACCTGCCTTCATTGCTCAGCAATCATTGTTACTGGAGTCGAGAGAAATTTAAAAAAGAGCATACGCAAGCTGAACAGGACAAATAAAGGACCCATTTGCCTCCTCACTTGGAGAACAATCTTGAGCACATTGGAATCATTTAGAGTTTGGCCTTTGATTTCAGCAGCAACTGAACCAAGCCACTTCAGTCAAATTCTGAAGTCTCTATTGTGTTCTTATTGTCAGCTAATGTCAAAGGGCTGAACCAGTGCCCACTGCAATAATTTCTCCCCCATGTCAGTATGACGACACAGCGTTCCATAAACCCCTCTGCTCCTAGTCCGACTGCTGCATACTATGTGTCCAGGAATCTCAGGGGACTCTGCATAAGACCTAGAGATAGGCCTAGCCCAGAAGTGATATTGGAAAATAAAGTAAGGTTGGAATGACGGGGTTGAATATCTACTCACAACAGCATTCCTGGCTCAGAAACCAAAGTAAAGAAAGAACCTGCATTCTCCTAGGCTACGTCTAGACTGCAGACTTCTTGTGCAAGAAGCCTTTTGTGAAAGAGATCTTCCACAAAAACTTCTTGCGCAAGAGCTTGTCCACATTTCAAAAGTGCATCGGAAAAGCAATTCGCTTTTGCACAAGAAAGCATCCAGACTGAATGGATGCTCTCTCACAAGATAGCTCTGGTTGCCATTATCAGAATGTGCTTCTTTCAATAGGCTGTTTTTGTGCAAAAAAAAACCCTGTTTCCCGTCCACACATACCTTTTTGCGCAAGAGCTCTTGTGCAAAAGAGTTATTCCTCGTCAAAAGAGGAATACCTACATTGGAAAAACCCCTCTGTTCTGTTGATTCACTGTAAATTTTCTTGCACAAAAACGTGCTGGACACTCCACGAGTTTCTGTGCAAAAATTGCTGGTTTTGCACAAAAACTCTGCAGAGTAGACATAGCCTTACTGTGCCACTGAAACAGGTGATGGTGTTGAACTCCTTTAGCCACAGGAGTAGCACCTGAATCAGGCGAGCTAGAAGACTTTCTGAGCCTAATTATCCCATCCAACTGAGATATATTCCATGCAGGAAGCAAGAGAGGGAGGTCAAAAGTTGCTTTAATTTATTGTTGTACCTCATGGGATTCTGGGCTTGGCCAGTAGCCAACTTCATATCCCAGTATAAGTTAGAGCAGGCCAGAGATACTCAAACTGATGCTCATGTTGCTCATAACAATGTCTGCAGAGTAGTAACAAGATCCATACCTTGCACTGATCACTTTCAGAATATTAAGCATCTTGCAAGCCAAACAGCAATTCAGCGTGGCTGGTGGCTGTCCAAGCTGGTAGCAGTGTCTGGTTTTTAAATACTCCAGCTTGTAGTGTCTGTAAATTGGCCAACAGGATTACTCATCAAACCTCTAGATTGTTGTTCTTGCCAGGTGGTGCAGGACAATAGCTAAGCGTTTTTTTCAAGTGCTATAGTACTATATCCCAGCTATTGCTTTAAGTTATTGACATTTGGCTAATTGCAAGAGGTATGCTATAAACAGAATGAGTGTCTTGAATACCTTCAAGTTTATTTTCACTCTGAAAACAGGAAATAAAACATCCTTATCAATGGCAAAGGTCCTTTCCCACTGGAAATTCCCAGGACAGGAGATACCAACTGATTGCTCATTATAAACATAATTTATCCTGAGAGAAGCATAGATCTTCATTTAAAAGGAATCCAAATAAAGATCTAGTGTCCATAGGGAATAAAATTTAATTTACAGCTTTGAATCCCTTTCTATCAGGGTTTTTTTTTTTTTTTTCAAAGCTGATTTAGGCTGGAAAGTTACAGGAAACAGGCAGGCTATTCTGTGTCATTACTTGAATAAAAATATTCAGTCTGCCATTGAATAAGAGGCTGCAATTCAATGTAATGGCACTGTGCATATTGGGAAGTGCGTGTTATAGCAATCACCTCCCATAAATGACACACCTGGTGTTCATTGTTCAGTGCACATGGATTCAAAGAGTAAAAGATCAAATTTTAGTATAAAGCAGCATGCAGTGATAAGAGTTCAGCGTTGGAGAAGAATGATTCCTGAATTCATGACTAGCAAGGTGAGTGATTATACTGTGCATTACACTAGATGGGAATCAGTATTGTTAGCAGCCTGGATAGTAACTACATCTCATTATTTCAGTGAGTCCATGAGGCATCCGATGAAACCATTGCACAAATACTCTAATGGCTACAGTTGACTGTGACATATTGCTGTGAGAACAGGTCAGTATCATGACACTATGTGCTGTTCTTAATACACGTTGACAGCTTCCCCTGGGCCTTGTACTTCAATTGTGCCTTTCATCCAAAGATCCTGCAAACAAGAATTAAGTAATTAATCCCTTTGCAAATCTTCTGCTTTCCCTATGGCTATTGCTGTACAAGGGGTGTGTGTAATAAGCTACACAATGTAAGCTACACAAATTGCATAGCTTATTTTGAATTAATTTCAAAATAGCTAGTTAGAAATGTGGTGCTGTCAAAATAGAGTACTATTCTGAAATGTCCCTTAATCCTAGTGGATCAAGGTTTACAGGGACATCAGATTAGTGCACCCATTATTTCAAAAGCTATTTGAAATAACAAGCATGCTGTTGAGATGTGGAAAACACTATTTTAGGATACTTCCGGTATACCGAAATAGTGCCCCTGTCTAGATACACTCAAGGAGATTAACGAATAAATCCAGCCTCCTATTCCACTGGTGCAGAGGGCCCCTGTGTAGCTGACCCAGGAAGGTGACTGTGGAGTGTTTAGCACTGGAGCTATGCCTAGATTGCAGGCTTCTTTTGGAAGAAGCTTTTCTGGAAGAGATCTTCTGAAATAACTTCTTCTGAAAGAGAGCGTCTACACAGCAAAAGTGCATTAAAAAAGTGATCTGCTTTTTCAAAAGATAGCGTCCGCACTGAATGGAAGCTATCTCGCATTTAAGATGTGATTGCTATGGATGGAGAGGCCACCAGGGCACCTGTGCTTTTTCCTCTTTCCTCTTCTTTCAGAAGAACTCCCTCTTCCCCATCCACACATGCCTTTTTCTGAAAGAGCGTTCAGAAAAAGGCTTCTTCCTTGTAAAAAGAGGTTTATCGATGTCGGAAAAACCCCTGTACTTCCAATTTTTTTTCAAAAGAATGCGATTGCTATGTGGACATTTTTCAAAAAAAAAAAAAAACTCTGCAATGTAGACATACCCAGACTCTCCTCTGCATGGGAGGGAGGAGGTGAGACATGGGCTAGCCATGTCTCCTGTCACTATACTGCGGGAAGCGTAGGTGCTGAAACTAGGGATGCTAGAGGTCCTGCTGCACTGCTTCGCTTGAATTGGCTTCCATCATATACAGGGGTTTACAGCTTGATTCAGTGGCTCTCGGCACCCCCATTATAAAAATTGTTCCAGCATCCCTGGGGGGAAGGAAGGGAAACAGGGTGTTCAGAGTTATACTGTATAGATAGCAGCTTCAGCCTTCTGATTGATGTAGATGTTGCAGAGCAATGCTGTGTCCTGTAGGGGGAGCTAACACAACATCATATGTTGAATGCTCAGAACTGCAAGGAGGTATTTTGTTGCTAGAAAACCAATATTGTTTTAATCCAGATTGACAAAAAACAGAATGAAAACATTTCTATTCATACTTCATACAATTATAATGTAAATTTGAGTCCTAAAACAAGTTGACTATCTCCTTTGAAGATGAATCCACACTACATAACCTGGAAACATTGCTTTCTACAAACACTCTAGCTAGAGACTGGTGTGGATTTAAATTGGTATTTGCATCTGATCCATAATCCACAAACACTGTCTGCAGATACAAAGCTAATATCTGCAGATTTGCAGGGTTCTAGATCATAGGTGCTGGAGATAGGGGGTAACATTGTAGCTCCTGATTTTAAGTAGTTTCTCTTATATACAATGTTTATAATTTGAGTCAATGGCTCTCTGCACTCCCATTATAAAGGCTGTTCCAGAACCCCTGCTCCGGATATAAAATTTGGATCTGCATCCCTCCACAATCTGCAGACATGATCCATCGGTATCTGTGTCAATGAAGGTCACTTTAGATCTGGTAAACTGAAGTACTGGTCCTCAACATAAACACTTGGAATTAAGGAGTTGTGAGGGTTGAATTTAAAGATGAAATGCAAAGAGGAACAAAATACACTTGTGCTTTGCCTAGTATATGATGTTACGTACGCAAATTGTTTGCTTCTTTGGAAGTTTTGTTTTGTTTTGCTTTTCCAACAACAAAGCATGAGAGAACAGAATTGCCTTCTTTCTATTAGAAATCCAGGTCTTGTATAATCTGGAACACTATTGAAGCTAGAGAACTAGTGACAACGCAACATCCTTAGAGTCCAGGAAAAGCTGAGCATTAAGGGATTTTTTGTTTTGTTTTGTTTTTGGTTAGTCATACTGATTTAATACCAATGACTAATAGAAATCAGAAGATAAAGAGAAAAAATACTTTTAAATTAAAACACCCTTTCGCAAACTTCTTCGGATATCATAAAAAAAAGCCAGAAGAGGAGGGGGAATTACAATATAAAGGAAAAAATCATTTGCAGGCTACCTTTAATTCTTTCAACTACAGGAAATTCCAATATGCTCCACAAGGTGGAAGCCTACATTACAGTTTGCCCAAGTAAAATAATATCGGAGCCCACTGACTTGTAAAACTTTGTTTTAGTTTAAATTAAAATACTGAGAGAAATGACTAGCCAAAGTAAATAATGTGAGATATTTAATACACTTAAGTATTTTAATACATCTAGTCTAAGTCCAAAATAATCCTTTTTACAGATGTTGGCAAGAAACAACATTTGTATTGTGAAAAAAAAAGTAGGGTAAATAATACAGAACAAGCTGAGAAGTGAAATTAGATTCTGTGAAATCTTTTTCTGTTAAACCAGATACTCCTCAAAGCACCAGTGCAGAAGGTCAGCACTTAAAAACACCTTGTTTTTATCGATATGTTTATAAAGGCCCTGCGAGGAGCCAAGTGTAGACACAAAGCTGAGTTCATAAATGTGGACTCAGCATAGACTGCATAGAGTAATCTGGCCGTGATTTCATTGTAACAGTGAGGTCACAGTGCATAACGTTTGTGTCCTGTTATTTTTACATAAATTGTTTCAATATACTTTCTTTCTTTAAGAACCAATAAATTCCCATAAGACTGCATTCATAAGTGATAACTAACTAGTATGTGAATTATGGCACTCAGATGATTTACTCCCAAAAAAAGCTGTTGATGATACAGCCCACTGGGTATAAGCATCTCATCAATAATAAACCAATGTGCAAACAAAGGATTGAGAGGGGAAAGGAAATTCTGTAATAACCAATTTCATAGTGTTATTATGATCAGTCATGGGTTAAGCGATGGGTTTAATTATATAGGAATAGCTTGACATTGCAATAGGTAAAAAGATGCACAATCTAATGCAACTTCACTGTCATGAAGATTTTCCTGACAGAGAAAATTTAGGTGTACTTGAATTTCATCCCATTAGTCTTGATGATTGTCCCCAATAATTCCTTTTCTTCCTTAATACTTACAGTAGTCAAATAATGGCCTTAGGCAAACATTTTGTAGTTTCCAAAGAACACCCCTCCTCCTGCTTCCTCCTCCAGAGGGAGATCCGTGGAAATTGGCGGAAAAAGAAAGCTTTAATCCATAGGTGATATCTGCAGTTATCTATGGGCACCGGCACTGAGAAGGGGAAAGAGGGAAAGAAATGAGTGATAGATCATAGCAGAGAGCAGGAAATACAGGATCCTACAAGATGATCCGTGGAATTTTGAATCTCAGGTCTCTTCAGAGCTTCACTAGAGTTCATTAGTGCTGGAGGTTTTGCCTGAGCAGAATAATTTGCAGGATCAGGCAAAACAATGAACCCAGTGTGCCTACCATGCTTTCTGCTTGCGCATGGTCTCTCTTTTCCGTCTTTGTTCTTTAGCGTGAGCGCTACAGCTTGTGTGAGGCGGCGGAAAAACAACTCTCTCCCTGTGTATGGCGAGTGCCTAGCGCTCATGAAAGCTAGGCAATGAATGGAATTAATAAAGAACGAGCGGGAACCGAGGCCGTATGTGTAAAGGGGGAGGGGGGGAGGGACGTTGGAACTGCACAAGGGCTACACAGAACATCCACTAGGGATAAGTAGTGATGTGATCTGGACACTGGGATCCCCCCCACACTCAACCAAGGTGCCTTAAGGGATGGGACCTGAAGTCAAACCCTGCCTCCAGCTGCCCCGATCACCGCGGGAGTGAACCTTGAAGCTGGCCCGGCATTTTGCAAGCGCCCCGATCTGCCCCCCCTCCCCCAGCCTTTGCAACGCCTGACATCTGGGGCTGAATGCAGCAGCTTGACCTCAAATCCCTCCTGTGTCCAAAGGTGCCGCACCCTGTCTGCTTCCCGCGGAGGGCAGGGGGCCACCGGGAATCTGCAGAGAGGTGCCACTCCTGCCAGTGGATGCAACCGCTGGCAGTGGCAGGGTTGGCTCCGCGTGAAGCCGGGATCCCTCTTTCCCCCGGTGCCGCTGCGGGCAGCCCCCAAACCACTGTGGGCCCACCCGAGCTCAGGCATCGCCGCTTTAAGCGGAGGACCATGCTGGGCGCCGGGGAGGGTCCCCGCGCCCCCCTCGCTTCCCCACGTGGTCTCGGTCGGTGCCTGTGAATTTCAATCGCTGGAGGGTCCCTCTCGGAGCAGACAGCGGGCGAAGCTGCCGGCGCAGCGACCGG